AATCATGCAACCGAGAGCCTGCACCACGAAGCAGGCCAGGGAGCCGGGGCTCACGATATGGTGAGGGCATTGGAGAAGAGAACCTTGGATACGGAAGCCGGTGGAGGCTCGGCCGTGGATATCGCCGCCGCCCTCATTAGATAAAGAATCATCCAGGGTCCGAAGTTTCCTGGGCACGTTCCTTAACGAACGCCCCCACCTACCGTAACGTAAGCGCCTATGTCTTGATGATAGGTGCACTTGTCATCACACATGTGTAGACGTAGAAGCATATGGACATATGAATATAGACATCTACGGGTCTGTGTATATACTCGTGCTACCGCTTTATGATCGCGTGCGAACCTTTCCAAAGGAATAAAACTTAGACGCGATGGTCGGCGTCGACGTTCGCACTGTTTTGGCAATGTCGCGCGGGAAGCCCTCTGACAGTTTGAAGACAGGGCACGCCCCTCACGGAGACGGCGACGTCGCGGTTCCCAATCCAAATGGTATCAACATCTAAACTGCAGCATGATCAACAAGCCACATGATTTGACTGATTACGTGCATAAAAGGTATCGCGCAAAGTCATGGTTTAGTTTCACCTGTTGCAGGCGTGCTGATTAGCAGTTCGGTTTGCTACTTTCTAACAAGTTCGTTTCAACGACTTCGCGGCTGGGAATGTGCCGCAATATCATGTGCATTCCAATGTATTAACGCATGGCTGTGCAAAACAACGACTTAACGTATTTACTCACACCTGCTTCTGCACCGCAATAGTTCAACGGGTTCGCGAATACTTATGTAAACACATGATTATTCACGCCCCTTGTCGATTGCTTTATTTTTCGAACATGCTTGCGCCCCCTGCTCGATTGTGTGCGAGCCTGGGCAAACCGTGCACCTGTTACTTCGCGTCGTTGGAGCCGCTGTTCGAGTTTAGCCAGCTCGCTTAAACGTATCACACGGACGTGCCTAGGGCCCACAGCCGACCCCAATAAGACCCCAATGAAGCTCCCAAAATCGTCGCAGAGGGCATGCATTACAGCGGCAAGGCGGCCTAATAACTCCCCATGAGAGCCCGAATAAGCAGGAGGAGAGGGATGCGGAAGAGGAAAAGGAAGGACGAATATACGGAGGAGGCAGAGGCAACCAACAAGGAATCATGGGAATAGGAAGGGGAATCAGGAAATGGGTATAACATTGAAGAGGAGCAGAACACATATAATTCAAAGACAAAGGGAATAGAGACGGAGGGGGAGGGGGAAGCGAGAGGGAGGGAAGAGGAGGGGGGGAAAACTAAGGACACGGAGCGGATCGATCGTACCCGTCCAGACGTGATCCCCGCAAGACCGCACGAACACTGCATGCCTTGGGCTCGGCCTTAGCTGCCGTTTGGCTACCAGACGTGCGAGCCCAGTGCGGTGCTATTCCACGACAGTGAACTTCTGCTCGCTTGCATGCTTTCCTCCCCGTGCCGGAACTTTGAGGAGCAAGGTGCGTGGCGCGAAGCGCCAATGAAATCTTGTGTGTATACATCCCATAGATATGTATGTATGTATGTATGTATATATGTATGTATGTATGTCTATATATATATGTACTAGAACCACGCGCGCTTCGCGCGCGCTTAGGTTCTAGCGCGGACTTCCCCGATTGTGAACGCGAGCTCGCCCCACACGGGAGCGTGCTGCCAGAAGGACCGCTGTCGAAAGAACGGCGGGGCTCTTCCGGCCACGGCGAGGGTCTTGGCCACAAAGAGGTCCCCCGGCCTGGAGCTAGGCAGCAGCACGACGAGCCAGAGCCGCTCCTGTGCCCAAGGCGGTCCTTGCTTCGGCGTCCTGGCCGGGCTCATTGCATGCTCAGCGAGAGCTTCACCAACTACATCAAAACGCGGGCTACAACAACCGCACCCTGATTATTCTGATGGCTCAAATCGTGTCGACAGTGTTGCAGCATACGGCTCTGGTGAGAAAGGATCGGAGGAGGAGGAGGAGGAGGAGGAGGAGGAGGAGGAGGAGGAAGAGGAACGCCAGCCGTGCCTGGACGGGAAGACCCCAGCCAGCGCAAGGAGAGTCTTGCTTCTTCCATGGAGTGAGGAGGAAGACTGGGCGAACGAGGAGAATTAGTCCCCAAGGGAACCCACAGGACAGCCTCAAGTGACAAAACCATATCTGATTTGTCTTTAAACGGTTCTCGCATTCTCGCCAGCTCGGGGCTATGAACCCCGAGGAGAAGGTGGCCCAAGATGGTCCCCGGGAGGGGCAGGAGAGGCCCGCAAGGGGGAACTCGTGGGGGCTGTTTGGGAGCCTCTTGAAGCCTCGTTTGGGCCTCCTGGGTGCCTCTTGGGGGTCTCCTGGGGCCTCTTGGGGCCCCTTTGGGGCCTCCCGGGGCCCGGTGGAGGCGGGAGGCTCGAATTTCCGGTTCACGGTTCCCCTCTTGGGGCCCTCTGGGGGCCGTCTTGGGCCTCTCTTCGCCCGTCTTGGGCGCGTCTTGGGCCGCCTTGGGGCCCTCCAGAGCCGTCTTGAGGGCCTCTTGGAGGCCTCTTGGGCCGTCTTGGTGCGTCCGCGGGGGGCCTTTGAGCCGTCGTGGAGCGTCGGTCAGCTGAAAAGGCGGGAAAGGCAAAATGTGTCAAAAACCTTAGTAAAATGAACGATTTCGGCCTCTTGAAGCGCTTTGGAGAGGCGTCTTGAAGCGTCGTGGAGTGCCTTGGGGGGCCTCTCGGGCCGTCTTGAGCCTATCTTGGGCATCTTGGGGCCCTCTTGGCGCCCTCCTGGGCCTCTTGGAGCCTGCTGGGCCTGCATGGTTCTAGCCCAGGCCGGGGGGCGCTGGACGATCTTGGACAATGCTATCAAGCACAGGCGCGCGACGGCATCTGAGGAGCTTCTGGGGTGTTCCGCATGCTTCGTCAACTGGCTGTTGGAGGCACCTCTTGGGTGCTTCTTGGGGGGGCGTCTGAAGGCCCCTTGGGGGCATGGGTTCTGCAATTTGAAGCCGTCATTGGCCGTCTTGGCTGCGTGGAGGCCCGACTTGAGGCCACCTGCTGCCAGATTGAGGCAATCCGGGAGCCTCCCGGGGGCGTCCTGGAAGCAGTTTTGACGCATCGAGGGCACTCTTGGGCTATCTTAAAGCCTCTTGGACGTCTCCTACGGGCCTTTGAGGCCCTCGGGAAGCTTTTGGGGTCCTCGTCGGACCACTTGGGGGCCTCTTGCGGCCTCCTGTGGGCCTTGTGGGGGGACCGCTCTGCTGTTGGGTCGCGTTCCCCTTCTTGGGCCTCTCTTGGGGCTCTTGGGGCCCTCTGGGGCCGTCTTGGGCGCCTCAAGCACCGTCTTGGGGCCCTCGCGGGCCGTCTTGGGGCCCTCTTGGAGGCCTCTTCCTCTATATGGGAGCGGTATTGGAAGCCTCTTGGGCCGTGTTGGACATCGGGATGCCAAAGGCAGAAAACAACGTAGAACCCGTCAAAGCCCAATCGTAAAACAATGAGTTCTGCCTCTTGGGGCCACCTTGGGAGATCTCTTGGAACCTCGTCGGACCTCTTGGGAGCTTCTCAGGGGCCTCTTGGATCCGATTGGGGTCATCTTGGGTCTTCCCGAGAACCTCTCGGGGTAGAAAGCTCGGATTATCGATTCGTGTTTCCCTTCTTGGGGCTCTCTTGGGGCCGTCTTGGGGCCCTCTCGGGCGCCTCGGGCACCGCCTTGGGGCCCTCGTGGGCCGCCCAGGGCCCTCATGTAAGCCTCTTCGGCTATCTTCGAGCTGTCTTGGAGACCTCTTCCTCCTCCTCGTCCCCCTCCTCCTCCTCCTCCCACTCCAGCTCTCTCTCCTCCTGATCTTCCTCCTCCTCCTGCAGCGTGTTCCGGAAGGCTCCCGCCGGAACATGCTGTGCACAAGTGCTGTCACTGCTCCCGCCACCGTGCCCTGGGTGGTGGGTCAGAGGCCTCATGGGTGTTGGTTTGGATCTCGTGGTTGGCCTGTCGGGGACGTCGTGAAGGCAGTTTCGCAGCTTCTCGGTAGCCGTTTTGGGACCGTTGTGGGGCCTCCTCGGGGCTATTTTGTGGCCTCTTTAGGCCTCGTTTGGGCCTCCTGGGTGCCTCTTGGGGGCCTCCTGGGGCCTCTTGGGGGCTCCTTGGGGCCTCCTGGGGCACTCTTCAAGCCGGAGGGTCGAATCTTGGAGTCGTGGTCCCCGTCTTAGGCGCATCTTGGGGCCGTCTTGGGGCTCTGTTGGGCTGTCTTGGGCGACTCTGGGGCCCTCTTGGGGCCCTCTTGGGCCGTCTTGGGGCGCTCCTGGGGGCCTATTGAGCCGTCTTGGAACGTCGGACAGCCGAAAAGGCTGGAAGGCCAAAATCGGTCGAAAACCTTCGTAAAATTGACGATTTCGGCCTCTGGAAGCGCTCTGGAGAGGCGTCTTGAAGCGTCGTGGAGTGCCTTGGGGGGCCTCTCGGGCCGTCTTGGGCCTATCTTGGGCGTCCTGGAGCGGTCTTTCGGCGACTCGGGGCCCGCTTGGGCCGTCTTGGGGCTCTCTTCGCCCGTCTTGAGCGCGTTTGGGGCCGTCTTGGGGCCCTCCAGAGCCGTCTTGAGCCCCTCTTGGAGGCCTCTTGGGCTCTCTTGGGGCGTCCGCGGGGGGCCTTTGAGCCGTCGTTGGAGCGTCGGAAAGCTGAGAAGGCGGGAAAAGCAAAATGTGTCAAACACCTTCGTAAAATAAGCGATTTCGGCCTCTGGAAGCGCTTTGGAGAGGCGTCTTGAAGCGTCGTGGAGTGCCTTGGGAGGCCTCTCGGGCCGTCTCGAGCCTATCTTGGGCGTCCTGGAGCGGTCTTTCGGCGACTCGGGGCCCGCTTGGGCCGTCTTGGGAGCCTCTTGATGCCCTCCTGGACTATTTTGGACCTCCCCGGCCGCCCCGTCCTCCCATGGGGGCTTCGAGGCGGCGGCCTCCGAGGCCCAGGACGCGGAACCCCTGTAAAAAACACAGGGAAAATGAGCCCCCGTCCCGCCAAGGGGGGTGGGGGCACCTGTCCTGGGGCCCC